TTGGCATAACGAACCGGAGCAGCACCGTTCCATTCCATTCTATGAGGAGAGGCACAAAGAAGAAGGTCATAAACAACAAAGAGGAGCAGCGTGAGGCATCAGATCCTGATAGGATAACGTGGGACTGGTGCAGGCGCATCATAATTGTGGTGTACTGTGGGAAGCGTAATATGGGGACATATCTGGCCTCGTCTCAACCTACCATCATAGACCAAACAAACTGGGCCCCACTAAGCTTGGATGCCACTCCAGACCTTGTCAGCATCGGTTAGTAGCAGCACTCATCGTCTCAGCATCAGCTGTGGACGAAGCAGACAGGGAAAAGAACTGGGGACATGACTCGGCCTGCTGACACAGGGCCAGCTAGCTGTTTGTTTAGGTTGGCTACCCCCTTTTCTCTTCCTCTCACCGTACCTTCAAGGAGACAGGGGGAGTCTGCTAGATTACAATGGATGTCACTTTTGGTAACCCTCAAAAAGCAAGGAATATAAAGTTGTAATGAGGGAAGAAAACAATAATTGAGAGAATAAAAAGAGGGGGGAGGGGGGGGGGGGGACTCATTGGCAATTCCGCACCCTTTCGAAATTTATGTGGATCTTTTAAGAAATAAATCCCGATTATCCTCTAATATCGCTGTCTTGGTTTTGTGGAGGCATATGATGTATTTTAGCAGCTAGAGAATTTTCAGAACTTATGAGACTATTATTTGCAGTGAACTCTCTGACACTCAGATTTGCTACCGTTCAGAATTATGGTTGTCTTTATGCTCTACCGTTGAGAACTCATGAGATGATTCTCGGATACTTCAATTCAATATGCTCTAAGAACGGATGTGAACTGGCTTGTAATAAACTCTACCTCGGTGGCCGTCACCTCCTTGCTTGGGGATTGTCCATTTTGCTTTCCCACTAATTATAGGATACGCAAACGCACGCAATGTTTTGGAGCTTCCTTCCAAGTAGCAGACACACCCAACCACCTTTAATTATGCATATCTAATCAGATCGCAGGGGGGAGAGATGCTGAAACGAGAGAGTGGAGAACAAGATAATGAAGGTCAGATTCTCCCATATCACGGACTGACTGTGGCTGCTCGATATGCAAACAGGTAATACCGCGAACACCTGTTCCCACAAAGCCAATCGGAGCAGCCTACCCCTTGGAGCTCTGCCGGAGGCGTGGTTTTAGATGCTCCACCCATGACGACGACGAATACGTCCCCTCGCACATCTGTTGAACAAAGGCTGGTGGCAAGTCTCACTCACTCTATCTGGTGGGTCTCATGGGATGAGAACATGGATTCACTGTAGGGAAGGAAGGCTTGGATTGAAAGCTTTCAAGGAAAAGAAACATCGCATTCTTGTAAGTGGGAACAAGGCCTGTTTGACTCCTGTTACCTGGCTTGCAGCACTTCAAGGCAATAACTCTTTGCCATTTGGGAAACGGTCACTCTTTGAGTCCTTCACAGACCAGGAAAACTGCAAAAGCAAAACTAGATCTCTGGTACCGACTTAATGACTACGTTGTTGTTCATTAATGACAAAGATTGTAATCCCAAAAGCTTAGGATACAATATATATTTTAATACCGCTTCTCTTGTGCTCTTGTCTTAAATTTAAAGCATGGATGAAGCCCCAATGTGTTGTTCAAGAGTATTGCTAAGTACTAACTAAACATGAGACGTTTTGACGACAAAGATTTGATTGAATTGTTGCTATTTTCAGAAGCTCAAGTTGTAAGTAAAAGATTCAATATCTTTATAATTTTTAATAATAAAACTTTAATAATTTTTATTTTTTTAAATTTTTATTTAGATACTTTATATATATATATATATATACATCTCTCTCTCTCTTTCTCTGAAATGATGGTATTACTGAATGCACTTTAACCTTGAAGGATTTTACAATAGAAATAATAATTACTTACTTTCTAAAATTATTTTTAACATATTTATCAAAGTTTTTCCTGAATGTCTGATTACTTATTAAACTATACTAAACTATTCGTCTTATAAAAAAAAGGAGTAGGAAGATTGCACTTACTTCCAGTGTAACATTTATTATTTCTTACTTCATATATAATTCAAATGTGCATTTAAATGTAACATTAATTAATTTATTTATTTTTTCTTGCACTACTTATGAATATTTTAGGAATTATAGTAAAAAGATTTTTTTTTCTGATAATTTACTTAATAATATCTTGTACCTCCAAAGCAAAAGTGCGAGAATATAAGGCATTACGATACCCCGCTTCCTTTTCCTGCTCCGCACGCCCCTCCCAAAACCAGCCCCACTTGCGCTCCGTCTCCAAGTCCTGTTCGCTCGATCCGATGATGGAAACGGCGGCTGCCGCTGGCGGAGGCGGCCCGGGCTACGCGGACTCCGTCGAATCCTCCCCGCGCTCCCGCGGGGGCGACTCGTGGGACGAGCCAGCCTTCCCCTCCGCTGCAGCTGGCCGCCTCCGGTTGATGTGCAGCTACGGCGGCCGAATCGTCCCCCGGCCCACCGACAAGTCTCTCTGCTACCTTGGCGGCGAGACCCGTATCGTCGTCGTCGACCGCCACTCCTCCCTCCCCGACCTCTCGGCCAAGCTCTCCCGAAACCTTCTCGGCGGCCGCCCCTTCTCCCTCAAGTACCAGCTCCCAAACGAGGATCTCGACTCGCTCATCTCGGTCGCCACTGACGAGGACCTCGACAACATGATCGAAGAGTACGACCGTATCCTCGCTGCTGCCGCCGGCGCTAGCGGTGGCTCCAACCGGTCCTCCCGCCTCCGGCTGTTCCTGTTCCCCTCTAAGAGTGAGTCGTCGCCTACGTCCTCGATCGGGTCGCTTCTGGATGACTCCAAGTCGGAGACTTGGTTCGTCGACGCGCTCAATAGTGCCATGGGCGGGATGGGGATCGACGGCCTCCCTCGCGGCCTCTCCTCCGACTCGGCCTCCGTCAATTGCCTCCTCGGCCTCGAGGACGACTCCTCCGTCCACTCCCATGGTGGCTCCGCAATCGCTTCGTCAGGTGTCGTCCGCGGCGGCGCTCACTCGGAGCTGCCCGAGCGTCTCGTCCTGTCGCGCCCAGACTCGTCCGGCAAGCTCGCCCGACACAGCCAGGACGTCCACTCCATCCCGGACTCGCCGATGCTCGACACTACTTCCTCCTTTGGGTCGGCCTCCTCCGTCCCTTCACTCTCCAATCTCCCGCCTATCCGTGTTCGCCCCGACGACCGCCCGTCCGATCCCCGGATCGCCGGTCTCGATGACCACTTCGCCCAGATGAACCTGTCATCCGGCACCGTGGCTGCCGGCGGCGGACAGAGGGCGGACGACAATTTTAAGGAGCCATCTTACGCTCCCGAGCTCCAACCCTCTCCGTCGATCCCCCCCTCTGCTTCCTCCGCTTCCACCTTGACCATCTCCCCCACCGAAAACCCTAGCAAAGCTTTCTCCTCTGATGACGAGAAGTCCGACCACGGCGGCGTCCGGAAGCCGCTGCAGCATCGTCCTCCGGACTTAACTCAGATCGAAGCGCTCTCGTACGATTCAGGTTCAAGGTATTGATCCTTCTCCAAACTACTCTGGACAAAAGCTATAAACTTTTGAAGGCTCTTACAGAAAAAAATTGCTCTTTTCTATTCATCTAGAACGATGTACTTGAATGCCACCTCTGATCCAAAACGAGAGCTCCCGGTCTCTTCCGATCCCAGCAATCGCATCCCGATTCTGGCCACGGACGCTGCAGGTTACCAATTGCCCTCATTGCAACCAAAGCAATTCCACGAGCAACAGCTTCATCCCCAGTTTCATCATCAACAGCAGCAGCAGCAGCAGCAGTACATTCCAGCGAACCCCCACTACATCCACCACCCTGGTACCGGGGGTGTCATCCCCGTCCCGTCTTACTTCCCAGTTGCCACCCACACTATCCAGCAACCGCCGCAAGCCCACGCTTACGATCCCCAAATGCCCCTGTACTACTATCCTGTTCGGCAGACTCCATCATACGATTTGGCGGCAATGCAGCCCGGTTTGGGGGATCCCAATCTGATATCTTCAGCAGCAAAACCTGCCTTGCCGGTGCCTCGTGTCCCTGCCAAGTCTGAATTGACTGCGAATTTGTATAGGACCAACGCCCCATCCCCTGCTACCGCATTGCAACCCCCGCTGATCCATGTCGCGGCGGACCAAGCCCACCCATATGCCACCGGCATGGGGTATCATGTGGTGCAGCCGCATCATATTTCTCAGTCCCCGGCAACGATGGTTAATTATGGTTATGACTTCGCTGGTGATCGTGCTCACCCTCAGATGTACTACTCTCAGGCCACTCCATTGCCCGTGAGCTCGGGTGTCGTGATCGCCGATGGGACGGCACCGGCTGATGCCAAGGCAACCAGAGCATCATGAACCCAAGTCGGGGAATTCTGGTAAAAGACGAGTGAAGAAGAAAGAAGAGGTTCCGATTGAGGTGAGGGAAGTTTTACGGTCTATTTACTATGAGTTGCGTTATTTGTCTTTTGCTGATATGCCTCTGTCGTGATAGGAAGAGTCCCGTTCTTGTATCATCTTTGTCACAGGAGTTAGGGTTCATCCATGAACCCTGAGTCCACATAATCTTTGCACTTTGAGCAGATACGTACCATGTTGCTCTGGGATTGTTGCCTATTAATAAATCATACAGCAGTATTTGAATGCACTCCCACTGTGTCTCTGAGAATTCCATCCCTGCTCCAGAAGTAAAGAATGAATGATGCTTTGCTCCAGAAGTAAAGAATGAATGATGCTTTGCTCCAGAAGTAAAGAATTCCATGATGGACATCATCTGGACGGCGAGTAATTAATTCCCTGATTGGTCCCTGTTGTAGAAGAAAGCACCACCGGCCAGTAGATCCTCAGCCTGTGTCTACCTGTATCATTTCACTGGCAATGACAGTGATGTAAGCTGGGTCATTCATTTCTTCTGACTGGATTGAGAACACAGAGAGGACCAGCCAACCTGGATCGCAGTGAGAGGGGGTGATGAGCCAGGGAGGTTCTGTGGTGGGTTTGATCTTTTATGTTGCAGCACAAAAGGGCCAGTTGGCGTGCAGCACCGGTGGTACTTGTGAGATTCACGTGACACGGTCTTTCTTTCTTTAGCAGGAATTCCCCGGCCATCTCCTGTTGTGAAGACTCGCACATGAAAGGGGTCTGCCCTGGTGAGCAGAGAGATGCGCAGAGTACGTACGTAGTTGTAGCTCCTAAGACTGTCTTGACCTGACTTGCCATAGATACTTTTTTTGATGTGGGGTGATTGGCTTTGGATTCTCTTCGACCCAAGTGTCAGAGAAAAGACTTGTGATGCAGTGAACTTGTCACAGGCTCGTTTTTAGGTTGGCCAGCCATTGATACTGGAGAACGTCGCTTTATGTATTGACACGGGGAAACCTGAAAGTATCTCCGCCACACACACTATCACGCACTAAGTACATTTTAGACATAAATACTAAGGATTAATAATATGATACGAGATCCATTTCATTACATCTCAAAAGTCTAATATTTATTATAATAATAATAATAAAGTTACTTGCTATGAGCGTTTTTCTCCTCCTAAAGCAAACTCTTATACTTTAGAATGTGATGTAAGTGCAATTGATGATTTGAATTGTCAAGTTGAGATACCTTGGCATGTAAATAGTATCATACAGGATTGTTAGTGTCGCTAAGTGGAGTGTTCTACTATATGATTGTAATTTTGATGAACAATCCCTAGTGGTGTTTCTTGTGTTTGGTGTGGTGACTCACCTAGTTACCCCTCCTAACATAACATAACATGATGACTTGAATTAATAATTTTTTTATTAAATAAAAAAAAAGGTATTTATACCAAAGGACATGTATTGTTTTCTCCTTTATTATTACATTGTGCTTCTAAAAAATTTTAGAACAATAATATATATTTAGTAATATGTTGTTGAGTAGGGTAGTCTTGAGCAAATCAGATGGTACAATATAAAATGATAGGAAGAATATCACAAATGACTGATAATACAATGAAAAATGTTAAACACAACCTACACAAGTTAGCAAATCATACATACACATACAACATCATATATGCATCATTATTGACAAACGGGATGCTCACATCTTTTAGGATGTCAAACTATCATAACGATTGACAGAGTGATGTCTTACAGGCTACAGTAATGACACATCTCCCCTATCCCTAAGCAGAAGACCTCCTGTTTGATGGTTCCTTGATCCCTCAAGTCTTGAAGCCATCCAAAGATAATCAATCACCTTATCAATATTGGCATTTTGCCCTCAATACGAAATCAACTGTCCCTCTATTTAGTATTATACATTAATCAGCATACTCATATCACATAAAATCATACATTAGCATGTACATAAATATATTAATGACATAAGGCAAGATGTGGTGTCATCATTAGACTCAATCAAGGTCAAAGCCGGTGAATATTGCAAAGGGGTTTAATATGCAAGGAAGACAGATCAATCAGTTTTGATAAGTTTTATTATTATTTTAATTTCTCTTGTAGCATTTATATTTGCATTTGTAAGGGGTCTAAATCAACAATCTAAGGTTATTATGGTGTTTAATTTAGTTCAATAATCTCATTCTTATCATTTATATTTTTCTTTTTTTTTTGCATTGCTGGGATTTTTCTTTTTTTCTTTTATGTATTTTACTAAAGTTTTCTTATTAGTAAAGTTTATTCTGGTTTTATTACTGCACATGCCACTGATCTAGCCCACTAGGTTGGGCGACCAAGCTGGCCCGCCCGAGCTGCCTTGTGCTGGCTCGAATCAATCAGGAGTCAGTTGGCTTCGATCATACGAGAGGATCGAGTTCAATCTGGGTGGGTTAGACCGCTGCAGGTCAAGGGTGCCTAGACTGGCCAAGCAAGGAGCCCAGCCCATAGCCCTTCTAGGCCACTGAATTTGATTGCACTCGGGTTTTCATAGTATATTAATAACAAATAAAATATTTTAAAATATATCAATGACATAGGATGTATTTCAGAGTATATCAATAGCATATGAAATGTTACAGAGCATATCAATGGCATATAAAGCATTTCGGAGTATATCAAGTACGTATGAAATGTTTCGGAGTATATCAATAACAAATGAAGCATTTCGGAGCATATCAATGACGGATGAAATGCTTCAGAATATATCAATGACATATGAAGTATTTTGGAGCATATCAATAGCAAATGAAATATTTCAGAACATATCAATAGTAGATGAAATTTTTCAGAATATATCAATGGCATATGAAGTATTTCGGAGTATATTAAAGAACAAATACGAAATAGAAGCTCAAACATTGCATTTGACATTGCACAAATTTCATTCTTATCCAAAACACATATATAAGCATATAAGCAAAGCTCTGGATACCATATCAAACAGATAAAAGTTGAAGTGGGATCCTAAATTCCCACGTTTGGGAGCGTCATCGATTCATGTCTGGATGAAGCCAAAGGAGGCTGATAGAGCATCGCGAGCTCTAAGCATATACCTTTTACCATTTCTGGCAAAGGTCTAGATAATCCCTTTATCATTTATGGCAAAGGTCCAAATAATCCTTTTACTATTTATAACAAAAGTCCAAATAATCCCACAAATACCAGAGTATAAAAGGGTATTGTGAATAATAAATTGGGACATATCAGAAACACATGAGATACAATGGAATATATGTGCCTATACGAAACATTGCGATATAAATATGAACTTTACATAATAGATTCAGGTATACAAATAATTGAAGGATAAGATATATGATAGAACCCTTACAGATTCTAAACTTGGGGTTGATCTCTTTAGGGGATCAGCCTCCTTGGAACTCTATAGGGGTTCCTCCCTCCAAGTTGCTGCTCAAAGGCTGCAGAAAAAATTCATCTATTGTTTAAGAAAAGAGAAGGAATACATGACTATTTATAGGGCTTCTAAACCCTAACTCCTAATAGGACTCCTACTTAAGACTCTTACTTCTAACCAACTCATAATAGGACTCCTACTCAAGACTCCTATTCCCTTACAACTCCTAATTCTTCTCTAAGAAAAAATCTCCTACATGAATGCCCCTCTCAATTAGGACTCTCCTAGCTAGAGTCCTAACAAAATGTCTCTCTCAATTAGGACTCTCCTAGCTAGAGTCCTAATAGAATGTCTCTCTCAATTAGGACTCTCCTAGCTAGAGTCCTAACAGTTTTACATGAATGTCCCTCTCAATTAGGACTATCCAAGCTAGAGTCCTAACAGACCCGCCCTCTTCAAATCAGCTTTGTCCTCGAGGCTGATGATTCGTGAATTCTGGGAATTTGATCTTCAAGTCATCATAGTTCTCCCAAGTGGCATCTTCTATTGGTAGGTTCGCCCACTATATTAGCACTTCATTAGTGGGTCGTCATCGTCGAGTCACAATCCGTCGATCAATAATAGCACTTGGCTGAGTCTGGAGTTCTCTTTGGGTAGTCATATTTGGTGGGTGGCTTTGGGCTGTCTCCAAGCACCTATTTAAAACTTCTGTCTGGCTGTTGGTTTGTGGGTGATATGTCATACTCCTTTTCAATTTAGTACCCTGCATAAGGAATAACTTTGTCCAAAATGTGCTCTTGAAGATGCAAGTAGAATTTGTCACAAGCACAATGCGTCCCTTCTAGCATAATTCTTTTGAGTCCCGATTGTAATGAGCCACGGAGCTTGGTGCTTCCTCTAATATTTTTTGTATCTTACTGGTCTCCGAATCTTCCTGCCATTCCATCTTAATATCCTCAAGGAAGTTGCTGGTTGGAAGTAAAACGACCGAAAATTCAGCTTGCTCAGGTAGCTACGAAAGCGCATCTACAACAACATTCTCTTTCCACCTTTTGTAAGTTATTTCATAATCAAATCCAAGAAGTTTTGTTACCCATTTTTGCTGCTCGGGGGAAGATATCTTCTGCTCCAAGAGATATTTTAGGCTTTTATGGTCGGTCTTGATTTGAAAGTATCGCCTGATCAAGTACGATCTCCACCTCGTTGCTGCGTGCACAATGACGAGCATCTCCTTATCATATGTTAACATGTTTTGATAGGGGGGAGACAATGTCTTGCTAATGTATGTGAGTGGTCGACCATCTTGCATGAGAACGTCTCCTATTCTGTCTCCAGATGCATCGGCCTTAATGATGAAGGGTCGGTTGAAATCTGGTAGCGCTAGCACCGGCGTCGTCGTTATGGCTGCCTTAAGTTTGTCGAAGGCAGTGGAGGCTCTGTCCGACCATTGGAAGACATCTTTTTCAAGGAAGTAAGTGGTGCACTGATCTTTCCATAGTTTTTCATGAACTTACGGTAGTAGCCTGTTAAACCCAAAAAGCCATGTAGCAATTTTATGTTCCTCGGGGTAGGCCAGTTTTGTATTGCTTCAACTTTGAAGGGGTCCACCATCACACCTTCCTTTGATATGATATGCCCAAGATATTTTACCTTTTGTTGAAGAAAGTAAAAATTCGTAGTGGTCATTGTGTGTTCGAAAGGCGGTTTTCGGTATGACTTCTTCATACACTCATATTTGATAATACCCGGATCGAAGGTCTAGCTTTGTGAAGATTTGTGCTCCCTTTCATCTAGCAATTCATCTGCTATTGGAATAAGGTATTTGTTCTTGATGGTTATGCCATTGAGAGCTCGGTA